TTTGTTATTCAAGGGTTGAATACTCTTGAATAATAAATTTCATAACCCCTTCTGGGTTAGGCTTTTCTTAATTCTGATTAAGCTGGATCTTCCAATTTTGGAAGATCCAGCTTACGTTAGATGCTCAGATGCTATGTCGATAATAGGAAAGCTGGATCTTCCAAAATTGGAAGATCCAGCTTTCCTATTATCAGCTTAATCAGAATTAAGAAAAGCTTAATTAAAATTAATCATGAATATAAAATTTGAACATAAAATTGAATGGTAAGACAAAGCCTTATGTGCATGTGTTCCCATGACATATTCAAACAAGATTGAATATTAAATATTGTTGTCAAGAAACAACATGAATACTGTATTTCAAAAAACTGGATACTTAATTATATAACACTCACCAAATAAACCATTACCAGTTCATAACCAAACAGAAAAATTCTTTCTACGAACGTTTTCATCTATATGTAATAGACATCCTCAGGTATTGACGATATCGAACTAACGGCTATTAGAATAGAATGTTTTTGAAAGTTCCATTTANATTATATAACACTCACCAAATAAACCATTACCAGTTCATAACCAAACAGAAAAATTCTTTCTACGAACGTTTTCATCTATATGTAATAGACATCCTCAGGTATTGACGATATCGAACTAACGGCTATTAGAATAGAATGTTTTTGAAAGTTCCATTTAACTACGTAATTCAAATATGTTGCGTTAAAATTGAAAATATGTAAAATATTTAAAACATATCCGAATAAATAATTGATTTCATGTAGATCATGACATAAATATCCTCCGTAATTTAAAATATCTTTGATGCGCATTTCAGTCATTGGGATCTAATTAAATATGGCACACCATGCTGCGGAAAGTGTATCGGTTTCTTTGAAATTAATACCGACCCCTTTTTTAATTGCCTTATATATCTCCAGCGATTCGAGGTACTTGAGTTGTGCCTTATCCTATACTTTGTGTAGCAATTTAGCGTTTTGTAGATCAACTTGAACGTCCTCATTATTCGCATATGTCGTTAGTGCCGTGGGGTCAGCTTTTTTCTTATCGAGTATTCATGTTCTTTCATCCTCATGGCGAGACCTCTTGCGGTTGCTCCAATGTATGTTAAAGCATGGTTAACCCGGTGATCTTGAAGAGGAACCGCATAAACCCCTGGAGAGTTAGAATCTTCTATACGGTTTTTGTCATTTCTGATAAGAGAGAAGACTGTAGGAGAGCGTCGATATGCTAGGTGTATTTTAGTAGTCCTTGCAATCTCTATATATATTAGAAAATATTTTGTTGTTCGTGATAACCCTCATCTGTTCGTCTTGTGGCATATTCCTCTCCCTCCTATTTATGTATTGGTTTATGAGATGCTTGACCAAAGAGGACGGGTATCCCTGTTGCATTGCAAGGGCATTTTTGATCCTCAACAATTTGTTTTCTTTTTCCTTTTGCTCCAAACAATGTGTGTGCACCCTTTTTACCAAAGCTAGAAAAGCATAGACTTTGTAAGAGTAAGGGTCATGTGAGCTGTTATGTATAAATAGAGGTGTATATGACTCCTTACGGAACACACAGGTGGAAAGATGACCTTGCTCCATTTTGATGGTAATATCCAAAAAATGTACCGTTGTCTGACTCTCCTGTTCAACTTTCAATGACAGGCCATAGGGGTTATCGTTAAAATAGTTAAGTACCAAATCAATGTTAGGTACCTTGTTCCATATGATGAGTACGTCATTGATGTACCTGACAGACAATGCTATATCCTCTTGAAATTTGGGTAATATGGTATTCTCGTGTTTTCTGATCACTAATTCACAAAGTATTCCTGATATTGGGCTGCCCATCGGCACACCCCTTGTTTGCATGTAGGTGACCCCTTCGTATTTGAAGAAGGACGAGTGGACCATCAAGTGTGATAAATCCAACACATCAGGGAGATACTTATAAGAGCCTTCCACCTTTTCCAGAAGAAAATCTCTCAACTCGCAGAAACAGGGTTCCAGTTTTATAGATGGGAACAATGTTTGATAGTCACATATTGTGAAATATGCCATCTATGACTCATTAAGATCCCGTAATTTTTGAAGTACTTCTTTAGGATTAGTGATCGTGTACATATGGTCCTCTAGATTGTTAGTGATGTACAGTGGTACCTCAGGTTACGAACGCCCCAGCATACGAAATTTTCAGGATACGACATGAAATTCGAACATATTTTTGCTCCACGATACGAACAAAAACTCACCATACGACGTTACATTAGTTCGCATTTTTCATTTGTTTTTCTTACTACAGTTATTTTTTTTAATGTATTACTTGGCTTTAATTTGAGTATGTTTTTCGCGTTGGAACGAATTATTTGGTTTTACATGTAATCGTATGGGAAAAGATGATCCACCTTACGACATTTTCATGATACGATCTCAGTTTCGGAACAGATTAATTTCATATCCTGAGGTACCACTGTATTTGTTAAGAAGTCTCTCCATTTTAATAGTGGGAGAAGTCGTTTTATCCACCACCGCCCTTAACTGTTGTCTGCTCTTATGGGTTTTTGCGAATGCAAATATACAAGGTAGAGATGGCGCCATAACTCTCGTTGCCGCCAGATTCAAGGTATTAGCAAGAGGAGTGTTGGAGATCTTCAATGTCTTGGCTGATATTTTCTCAAGAAAACCACGATGTGCTACTGTGCATTCCGTGTCCGAGATATATTGTGTTATGGCCTTTCAGTATGATTTCTTTTTCATGAGCACTACGTGTTTTGATTTGTCTGCTCTTAAGGCAACAATGTCATTATCTCTCAACCATTTTCTATATGTTCTTATATTCATCCAGACCTCCCTGGACGAAAACGTTCATAGAAAGAATTTTTCTGTTTCGTTATGAACTGGTAATGGTTTATTTGGTGAGTGTTATATAATTAACCTTTCAACAGTGGACTAGTCAGGTACATGTATTTGTAAAATCTAAGTGACTCGTACAACATGGAATTCATATAAAACAGAATTATCAACAGTGTTATTGGGGGTCAACTGTATTAATGTAGAAAATGTTTATGAATTAAACCTTTAAATCTATCAGTCATTTAATGTTATTGGAATTATTATTATTATTATTTTTTTTATTAAACTTTGAATTATTAATATAATAATATAATGTTCTGATCAATTAATTATTTATTTTATTTATTTATTTTTTTTTTAGAGAGAGCTTATTGATTTGACTGCATCAAAAACAAAGCCTTCTCCCTCATTAGAGAAAAGACTATGCTCAGATGCTATGTCGATAATAGGAAAATGGAACGTGTTGTTGAAAGATCATTGGATATTAGGATGGAGTTTATTAAATCAAAATGATGTGTATGATTTACATGATTTACATCATAATTTGTTTAAATTATCACATAAAAGTTTTCTTAAACATTTGAATACTTTACAGGTTTATTTTGGATATTAATGTCCATTTGTACCATGAAAAAGAAATCATAGAATATAAATGTAAGTGGTACAAACATCATTTGGCAAATAATCAATGCTGGTTTGACTTTGCTCAAAATAAAATTGAAAACATGGAGTTTAAGCGGGGAGATGTGTTTTCAGTAGTGGCTTCCATTCCATTATCCATTTTTACTGGATCAACAATTTGTGTAATATCATATGTAAAATGGAAGACTAAATCGATATTTGAGCCAAGTATAAGTGAAAAGCACACGCCTCTTCAATGGAACGTATTGAATATTAAAAACATTTTTGATGAAAATAGTTTTAAAGGTAATTTTAAAAATAATAATTACGATATTAAGTTAAACTG